TAGATGTGTATAAGAGAATGGGATACCTGTAATACGCTCAACAATAAAGATAGATAATTTTTTTTTAAATAAATAAAGTTCAAGGCCTACATCTTAAATGTTCCCCACTTCCAACTATGTGGAAAATGAATTTGAACCATTTGAAAGGTCCTGAACCTTTCTTACTGTAATTACCGAACATACAAAGATGCAAAAAGGCATGGGAATATGTGTTTCCCAGATTAAGAATGTTCCCAGGATATTGAAAAAAACAGAAAACCTCTTTGCCCAGCTGTTGTGGCTTAGTGGTTGAGTGTCGACCCAGAAAACAAGAGGCCACCAGTTCCATTCCCGGTCAGGGCCCATGCCCAGGTTTTAGGCTGGATCCCCAGTAGGGGGCATGCAGGAGGCAACCTTTTGATGTTTCATGCTGATCTATGTTTCTATCTCTACCCCTCTCCCTTCCTCTCTGTCTAAAATCTATAAAGATATATTTTTTAAAAAATTTAAAAAATAGAAGAAAAAAAACACCTCTTGTTATTTCCCTTTAATCCAATTAACAAATACAAATCATTCTAAAAGATTCTGGTAACCATTGCTCAGACAGGAAACAATCCAGAAAATAAATGCAAATAGGACATTTTCAGCACCATGATATTTAAGGACTAACAGAACTACAGTAGATGCCCTAGCTGGTGTTGCTCAGTGGTTAGAGTGTCAGCCTGTGCATTAAAAGGTCTCAGGTTCAATTCCGAGTCAAGGGCATGTACCTGAGTTGCAAGTCCTCTCCCTGTCCCCTGTCAGGGCACATGCTGGAGGCAATCAGTTGATGTTTCTCTCTCATATCAATGTCTTTTGTGTGTGTGTGTTGTTTTTTTCTCTCTCTCTCCCTCCCTCATTCCACTCTCTCTGAAAAGCAATGGAAAAAATATCCTCAGGTGAGGACAAAAAAACAAAACACAGAAAACAACAAAAAAAAAAACACCAAAAAAACCACAGTAGGAAAGAATGCTAAGTCTCATGCATTTAAGGCTTTTATGTGCTT